GGGGACTGGGAATGGGGACTGGGGAAACTGGGAATGGGACTGGGGAAACTGGGAATGGGAACTGGGAATGGGGACTGGGGAAACTGGGGAAACTGGGAATGGGAACTGGGGATGGGAACTGGGAGAACTGGGAATGGGGACTGGGGTAACTGGGAATGGGAACTGGGAATGGGGGGGCTGTAAAAAAAGGACCAAAAAACCGCAATAAAACCAGGGCAGAGCGGGGCGGGGAGGGACTTTTGGGGCATTTTATGGGATTTTGAGGCTTTTTGGGGTTTTTTGGGCAGTGCGAGCCGCTCCTGACGTCCCTTCTGCTGGCTCTGGCTGTGGCTCTGGCTGTCGCTGTCACTGTCACTGTCACTGTCGCTGTCACTGTCACTGTCGCCGCGGTGGCTCCGAGAGGGAGCTCTGGGCATGGAAATTTTGGGGATTTTGTGCCATTTCGAGAGGAATTTTGTAGGATTTTGAATCTTTTTGCGGTTTGAACCGTTCCTACCATCACCTTTGCAGACTGGCGCTGGCGCTGGCGCTGCGGTGGCTCCGCGAGGGAGCTCCGGGGAGGGAATTTTTTGGGATTTTGTGAGGAAATTTTTTGGATTTTATAGGATTTTGGGCGGAATTCTTTAGGATTTTGTAGGACTTTGTGCCGTTTTGTGCGGAATTCTTTAGGCTTTTGAAGCTTTTTCGGGTTTTTTGAGCACTTTGAGCCGCTCCTGCCATCACCTTTGGGGGCTGGCTCTGGCTGTCGCTGTCGCTGTCGCTGTCGCTGTCGCTGTCGCCGCGGTGACTCCACGAAGGAGCTCCGGGGAGGGAATTTTTGGGGATTTTGTGGGATTTTCTGCCGTTTTGTGAGGAATTTTGTGGGAATTTGAAGCTTTTTTGAGCGCTTTGAGCCGCTCCTGCCATCACCTTTGGAGACTGTCTGTCGCTGTCGCTGTCGCTGTCCCTGTCGCTGCGGTGACTCCACGAGAGAGCTCCGGGGAGGGAATTTTTGGGGATTTTGGGGGATTTTGAGCCATTTCGGAGGGATTTTTTTTTTTT